GTCTTTAGTTGCACTTTGTGGCTGCCTCAACACTCTAGATGAAGTCAAAACATTTCCTTTCATTGTCATTTTTACTTTGGGGAAGAGCCAGAAGTTACATGCTACAGGATCTGTTGAAAAATGTGGAGAGGACAAACCATGATGTTTTTATGAACACACCTTTCTTTATGGATGGCACCTGTTAGCAGCATCCATCATATTTTTGATTACACCTTTTAAAGACAGGAAGAGGACTTCCAGAGCTGCTTCAGAGAGTGGCAAGGACAATGGGATAAGAGGGTTCAAAGTGAAGGGTGGGGTATAGTTTGAGGGATATTAATGGCAATATATGTTTTTTACTGTAATAATTAAAATATCTTAACATTCACCATATTTTACTAAATTGTGTATATGGAATTAAACTTGGTGAACTTAACATCATTTCTTCAACTACCAAGTGGGATATTTAGGCTGTTTTTTTTTTCTGGGAATCGAACTCACGACCTTGCATTTGCCAGGCAGGCGCTGTGACACTGAGCTAAATCCCCAGCCCCTATTTAGGCTTTTAAAGTCAGTTCTTCCAACGTTCTTTCTTTTTTTTACTTAATATTCTTGTGGAAATAATCCGAATTTTGGAAGAAAGTGACTTTCCTATTGCAAATATTTTAAAGCTAAGGAATATAACACAGGAGATAGCCATTTAACATTAACTTGTGAAAAACAGACTTAAGAACATTCAGAGAAAATGTACTAATTTTAGAGAGATTGAAAAGGGGTGATGACTAGAAATGTCCTTACAAGAATTGAAAAGTGAAATTTTGACAAAATGATAAAAAGTGGCATTTCCAAATGATCTCAGCTATGTGTAGGATTTAAAAGTATAAAGATTAAGTGCAAAAAACATATCAAGCAGGAAAGCATTATGAAAAACACTGGATGATAGACAAAAGAAAATATTATAATTAGGATGGAAATTATAAAGAAATTCATATTTGGTATCTACAAAGCCACATATCAATATAAATATTGTAAATGTTAAAATTAATTAATATTTACAAAGGCGAAATTGGATTATATCTTGATGGTGGTTTGGGGATCTTTAATGCCAGGCTCAGAATTGCTGACCCATTAAAGTCTTTTAAGCTGGAAGGTAAAAATGTTAAGGAAGCAGAAGGAAAAGAAGGAAATATACTTATTGAACAGCTACATTTTAGAAAATAGGTAGTGAGTGTGAATGTACTCTGTTATTCTGGAGTTAACAAGTATGCCATACTTTTATATTTCTTAAATCAAGTGTAACTTGTCTTTCAGTGCCCAGTAATCTGATTAGCCAGGCATCTAGCATCAATCATGATGGAAGTTTGTTTATGTCATCATCTGAGAAGCTAGATTAAGCTTTATGACACATTAAAGTATATAGCTTACCTTAACTCATATTATTCCATAAGAAGAGAGAGACTTCCTGGTCCTGAGTTCATAGTGTCCATGGATTCATTTTCCTTTTTTGGGGGGTGACTCTTACTGGTAGCTACAGAGTTACTCTGGCTGGGTTCCATGTGGTATTCTTTGACATGACATTTGTAGCTACTCTCAGGGTCAAGGCATTTAGTTTTTAGCCTTTTGGGCTCTCCATATTCATCCTCCATCAGAAATTCTACCTCCTAAGTCTGTGTCTTGGTTACTTTTCTCTCACTGCTGGGAGAAAATACCCCACACCCAAAATTAAGGAAGGAAAGGTTTATTTAGCTCACAGTTTGTGGAGGTTTCAGTCTGTAATCAGCTGGCTCCAAAACAGAGTGGCATGGCACAGGAGCAACACTTCAAGGCAGCAGAAGACATAAAAGGCAGCAAGAACAAAAGGAGGGGGGGGGGAACAAGCCTTTTTTCCTCTCTTATATTGTATGCCAGCTATCTACCCACATTCACATCACCTCTGTGCCCTCCTCTTCCACAAGCCAAGGATGTTCACAAAATAAGAACCCGGGCCTTCTGCTGAATTACTTTAGTTGAACTTTTAAACTTCTCAGGTTGACACAACGAACAACACCCTAGCACAGGAAAGGCATGTCCTTTTCACCCCAGGATGTAAAACTGCTGAGTTACTTAGTTAAGCCT